GCTTATTACCAAGTCCCTTGAACTCTGAATTGCTAGCTTTTGATGGGTTCTTTATTTGTATCAAGAACGAGCCTTCTCGCTCGATGTTGAGAGATTCTTGGGGCTCATTCTCTTCTTCTTCTTCTTTTGGCTGTGGGAATTCAAGTTTGTATATCAAATGAGTGTGCATTTTGTTCTTGGGATTGTGCCTCAGGATACGGTAAACACCTTATCCCACTGCTCTCGCCGGAGGAATATGTCGGTGACCTCTCGATGATGTATCGTATTCCTCTGCAAAACACATCAGGTTTCAGACCTTGTTGCATATGTAAAGAATAATGGACAGTGTACTTTTCAGTGTAATAAGCAAAACCCATACCTCCTTTTAGAGCATCTTTCACATCTTCTATCTTTGTAGTCACTAACTCCACAAAACCCCAGAAAGATTGGGACTTCTTGCTTGGATCTGGAAGTGTCTTTCTCCCCATAACAATGAACCGAAACAATGGCTCTTCCTCGATATTTACTTTCTGCAATGTGATTATATAAGGTTTTTCAAGTAAACAAGCAATGTTTTAAGCAAATAATGTTCCTTACCTGGCAGCCCTGCCCGCCTTCATTTTGATTCGTGGTCGAGCCAGTTTGAGGTTCTTCTTCTTCATCTGATTCTGATTTGGCACCCTCCTTGCCAGAGTGAGGGTCTTGCTTCTCTTCGACTGCTCTCTCACCGGTCTCCGGTCGCAATACGATGTACAACCGCTGCACATCGTCCACACTGTGAACTTCCTCCTTGTTCACTTTCGGCCTATAGAAGAAGAATATTTCCCCTTTTTCCTGATTTTCTCCAATCAAATTAGCTATCATATGAAGGCAATGGATGAGAACAATGTGAAAAGAAAACGATTATGGTAGAAGAAAGGAACCTGTATCTCAACTTGGGCATCATCTCTGATATTATGTTCTTGGCCATGTCCCATGTTTGTCTCTTCCTGTTCTTTTTGTTGTTTTCCTTGTTGATTTTAGCAATGAAGTCGGCAGTTACAGCTACTTGTTTCTGTTGTGTTCTCCGATGATGCTAGAAATAGAAATGGAATTTAAAAACAATTCCCTGAATTTGGTTGAACTTGCTGGAAACTTCTCACTTAGCCACGTTTCATTGTGGCATGACAGAACCCCCATGATGCATCCACTACTTCTTAGTAGGCTGCCACGTTTCCTCGTATGGCCGTTTCACAAGCCTAAACTACAGCAAATTCAGTGCCCACAGAAGTAATATGCTTCTTTCTCTAAATATACGAACAACTAATACATATTCTACAAATATAATTATTTAAATTAATTTTTTTTTCAATATCAAGACCACCTAATGAATTTTAATCAATTTGATTACTTAAAGTGAGATCTCTCATATGTTTTAATGATCCATACCAGATTGGTTGTCAATCTACATACCATTGACTAAAATTACATTCAAACCAAACTGACATAGGTAAGTGGGGAAATGGGAATGCCCTTAAGTTAGCACTTCACATAGACATGATTGATCACATGAGAACTATGGCCATTAAAAGTCATTATTTCTTCAGTTTGGACACATTATTCAAAGCTTGTTAAGCAATGTCAAAGAAATTAAAAAGAACAATATTTAAAGGAATGAATCAAGTACCCAAACCCTCAAAGAAGCTTAATATTGAAGAATCGCCTATCGCAAGTCACTAATCATGGAGAACTATAGCTTCATTGGTATGATTGGCATATATGATCTCCACGCTTGCTTTTCCATTTCATCAACTTTTGGTGACCTTTTGAATTGATCGGTTGATGGGCATTATACTATAACATGAAGCATCTAGATTTGTACCTCTACTTCCATGGAATTCTATATAATGCTTTACTAACAAAACTAAATCGAGAATCATAAGCAGTTACTATTTCTTAGTAATAGATGAGACGAGTAACCACAACACTCGAAAACCCCAAATCCGTAAGCATGAAAGTTCAAGTCATTTTGTCAATCTTACTATTAAGGGGTTTTTGTCAGCAGTAGATAGTTTATTATTATTATTTTTTTGGATGAATAATTGCAATCTGTATAAGATCTAGCATTAACCGGTGATTTAATGATGAAAGATATAGAGGAAAAGTTGCAGAGAGAATGCTCCAACGTAGAAGAAGAAAAAGTTGTATAAGAAAGTCTTCGTTGTTATCTGTCATTAGAATTTAGGCTTAATATCTAAATATATGGTCAAACTATACTTTTTTTCCAAATAGGTATTTATAGTATTTTTTTAGATTATCCAAGTATCTAATCTTACAAACGTAACCACTATAGGTATTTGAGATGTAACAGCCATTAGTTTTATCCGTTAAGTGAAATGTGTTACAATCTGATAATTTTGGATTTTTTTTTAAAATATTAAAAATATTTTTATTTATAAAAAATCCTAATTTCTTTTAAATCACAAAAAACTTCAAAATCCCTAAATCTTAACACTAACATACTGTCGTCGTCATTTTCGACCATGACTACCGCCGTCGATGTAGTCTATGTCATTATCGTATTTATATGCCGCCATAGTTGTCATCGATTGGCCGTCGGAATTGTGATTTTCATCCCAAAATTTGTGAGGTATAAAACGTCGATTCATCATCGATTGGTCATGATTTTATAATAGTTTTGGTTTTCGGGGAGACATGAGGCTGGGTGGAGCTTTGTGGATGGCAAAGGGCGGTGGTCGGAGTGGGTTTAGGTCTTAAAATGAAGTTTTTTCAAATTTCTGGGGTTATTTTGAAATTTATGTGTTTTAAAAAAAATATATATATAATTTTATTTTTTTAATTTATATAAAAATTTAAAATTATCATATTATAACACATGTCAGTTAACGAAAGAAATTAACGCCATTGACGGCCCGTATACTTAAAGTGGTAACATTTGTAACTTAAGCACTTGGATAGTCCAAAAAAATTATAGGCACCTATTCAATATATATATATATATATATATATATATATATATAGTTTGGGCAATTATTTAGATATTAAACCTAGAATTTATGTACCAATTCTTTTTATATATTAGTGTTAGACTTAAATCCATGATCATTATACATAGATTAGTAAAGTATATAAATATAATCGTCAGTTAGTAAATTTAATCATGATAAATCTCTCGGGTTTATAAAAGATTTTATCAAAGACTCTTTAATCTCTAACAAATTTGTTAGTAGGTTGATAAAGAAATATATTTTCGGAAATAAAATTAGCACTACTTCAGAGGTATAACACCGAAAGAAAACAAAAACAGAAACAAGAAATGGAATGCTAAAAGGGAAAGCATGGCATCATGTTACTAAAATATGCTTTGTCCCACAAGTTTATGATGCATCACTTTAATAAAATGCTTTCCGGTTTCCTTGTTTTGGCAAATCAAAGGAAAACTCAAACAAGAGTTGTCTTCTACTTCAAGTTTTTTAGGTTGAAAAAAGTGTCATTTCTTTTCGCTCCTTTGAATCTGATCTCTGTACCCCATTAACAATCAAACCATATGGCTTATAATGGCCTTCCAAGGAACCTGTTTTGTTACAGATTCTTTCAATCTTGGGGGTCTTCATTTGGAGTTTTTCCCATGTCTATTCCATTGAATAAGAATATCGACCCCAAATTGCATTGCTAATATATACATTCATATCGACAAAAGTGTGATCTAATGTATCATAGGAGTCGACTTTATTTCCATGATATAAACAATGGCTTATATTCATCCACCATTTTTGTTCAAGACACCGAAAATGACCCATCAATATTCATCATTCTGTCTCTTCACTCTCCACTTTCCTTTGGGAGTGGATTAGAAATTTCAATAAACTACGTTATTCTACATTATTTGTTCTTCTGGATCCGTGACATCTGGCATAAGAGGTTTTGTGTTGTTACTTATCAGGATTTAAAATACTGTTGTTGGTTGTATTTTCGATTATATTGTGTTTATCTTGATTGTAGACATAACAAACATTATCACAATAATTACAGGTATCACAGTTATACAATAATAATTTTAAACGATTTCGTTACTTATTTAAATTCTTGATCCTTAGAACTATCACTAAAATAAATTCGTAGTATTAATAAAAAAAACCTTACATCAACGTTAAAAAGCTATTCTATGGGGAAAAAAACATTTGGTAGAATGACATGGACATTTACTGACGAAAATGTGACTGTCGCTATGATACAATTCCCGCACAATATATATGTTCCGGCAATGACATATTTAAAATTTTTAAAAATAAGATCTAAAATTCTCTTTTGTTTTTTAAATAAAATAGATTATAAATTTCTTTATATTTTTCTCCTCCTTTTAACATATTAAATTAAATTTAATATTTTTTAAATAATATGTATATATTTATCCTATTAAAGGGCTTCGTACATTCGTTCATAAAGAAATTTAATCTGAACAATTTCTTGTTTAATTATTTTTAATCTTGGAGAAGAAAAGTAAAATATTACAACATATATAGGATGGAAAAGAAATGTTTGTTTTTATAATTTAACTTATTAGATTGAAGTAAAGAACATATACATTATTAGATGGAAATGAAAGTTCTAAGTTTATTATTAGTCTTAAAGGTTTGAATTTAGGGGTGGGTTTAGTGATAAATGAATTACTATTTTTTTTAGTTGATTTGAGATTGAACAGTTTTATTTGTATATCTGTGAATTTATTCAGATTTAAAATTAAATATATATATTATTTTATAATTATATTAATTTTACTTTTAACGATATATTATCATCTTATTTACAATAATATATAGAATTATACATTTGATCATATGAAATATTTCACCCCAAATAGCGAAATATTTAAACTGAAAAACCTGCCTTCAACAACAGGAAATTCAAAAACCGGTCTCTTGTTTATTTTCTCAGTGGCTGCCCTATACAGATATAATCAACAGGAACAAAAAAGGGCTCTTGAACCTGCTAAAATCGGCAACTAACATCAGAACAAACAACAATAAAATAAATAATCGTTACTTAAAATGTCCATCTTCGCTGAATTTAGCACTTGTTCCCGTTGCTTAATAACTAAAACATTGATTACTTAAAGAACCAATAGAAAAAAAGAACCTGTGATTATCTTTACGTTTAACTATCAAAGGCTTTGCTCGCCATCATTCTCTTGCTAGCAGCTGGCCCAGCACTGAGTTCGTGTCTGCCTACCATCTTTGGACCGCCACTTCCTTTTACCTCAATGTTCCACCAAAAGTTGGCGTCCAGAAATCGATAGTGGTCTCGTTGGTAACAGGGAATGTGTTCGATACCGGCACCAAACATAGCCCTCGGCTTCTTAGATCTTGTTTTGGCTCATCTGGATCTTTCAACTCATCTTTTCTTTGTTCATATACCTCTTGTTGTATGGAAGCTGCTGCTTGTTTCATATATGGAGTACTTAGAACCTGAAATTATGAAATATTATACAATATATGTATATGTTTGGGTTTTACATAAAGAAAGAGCTAGTGGAGCATACATTGACTTGATCATGGAGGAACTTGATGTATTCAATGGCTTCATAGAGAACAGATGCGGTATCAGTCTGACAAAGAAAAAGTAAAGGTAGATATTAACCCTAAAGGATAATCTAAAAGTAATGTTTTCAAATTATTTACACTTTGAGATATAAAAGAAAATGAAATCCAAAAATTCACCTTTCCGAAAGGTGAAACCAATTGCTGGAGCGCTGTGATTCGGTCCCCCAGCTTCTCTTTCCGAACCTGATCACGAATGTTGCTTTAATTTGCAGAAAAGAAGTTCCAGGAAAGAAAAATGGTCAAATTTGTATTAGTATAGCTACCTTAAAAGTTGGTAATGGAGATGGTGTTTCAAGCTTTGGCCTCTTGAATGCAGGTTCACTGCTTCCTTTCTTCATCGCCGACCCCAAGTTTCGAACTTCTTCGGAAAACTGTGATTTCGGCGAGGGTAAAAGGCCGGCCTTGACGTCTTTTATGGCCGTGGCAGAGGCGTTCCAGAAGGGTGTGTAGTTGGAGAACTGCAAGCTACTTGGCTGCTGCTCCGGCAACGACGGCCTTATGAGAGGTGATGTTGCGGACGACGTAAAGCCGATTGACAACCGGTTGTTGAAAAGTGATTGCTGTGGAGTTCGAGGATCGGAATCGGATTCAAACAAACTTTGTAACAGTGTTGATGGGTACTCATACGATACCGAAGCAATTGGAAACCCTGTTGATAATCCCAAGCACGTCGCTATACCATTACCGGAGCCGGTCGTCGAAGTCAACCCCGGTTGATCCGATGGAAAATCTTCCCCAGGGATTGAATAGCTCTTTGGACTCCAATTCTTAAGGATTTGAGAAGAACCCATACCTGTTTCTTGCCGATAACTCAACCTTGAATCAATATCTTCTTCAAGAATCAAATTATAGCTCTCGGTTCTCCCATTACTCCCACTGCAGCAAGCAAAGAATTTTTGTATAATAATTAAGTGTGTAAAATATTCTTCTTCTTTTTAGAACTTGTGGTTGAAGCTTTGGACTATTAAGTTCTTCTTGTATTTGAATTTAGAACTTCGACCAGACAAAAAAATCATACTAAAACCAGTTATGATTACAAAACATCATCGAACTTACAACACGGACAAGTTCCAGTCCGAAGTTGCCGATGATGGAAGGTCAAACCCCATCATTTGTGAAGTAGAATCCATCAAAATGCCGCAGCCAGTGCCACCACTATTGGAATCAGCTTGCTGAAGTTTCCGATGAGAAGGAGGATGATCATGTAAAACAATGGATCCAACATCAGAAACGGGATTCTTAATCGATTCTTCATGAGACCTTGCCTTGATATCCACCGTATCTGTGCCATGTCCAAAGCTTCCCATGTCAGCAACCGTCGTGTAACACGGCGGAGAACAACCTGTTAACACGTGTTTCATCGAATTCCACCACGCTCCGCCACAAATACTGGGATGAAATTCATCTGCCATTAACCAAAAAATTTATAGTTCTTTCCTTGTTTGCTGTCTCGGGCAGAAGAGAGGTCTCTCCTTAAAGAGTTAAACGATGTGTAATTTATATATGAGACGGTTCAAGTGTACGGATTAAAGGAAATTACAGAAATTGGGTTGACATTTGGAAGGAATGATTGGACAAATGACACGAGGCATTTTTTTAGTCGAATTCTTCTTCCTTCAAGTATGATCGTTAATTAATTTATTCCTTTTTCCAATAAAAATATATAATTGTTTTGTTTTAAAAATAATTCCATGTTCCTTGTGAATAAAGGGATGTGAGAATATGGTGTTTCATCTTACTGCCACGTCTATGTCTTCGCTCAATCCGACGGTTGATATTTGATAGAATATAACACTAAAAGAAATCTTTGTATAAACCTTAAATTTATGGACCATGTCTCAAAAATATGTATGATTTTTTACGGTTGTCAGTATGGAGATTTTCGGATAGACGCCCAACTCTTTAAATTTAAAAATCCCTTAAAATTATTAGGTTATGTTAAAATTTTAAAAGTAATAACTAATAAAATAATGAATTGATTTCGATATATATAATAGTTATTGATGTGTATGGCTTGAAATAGAAAAATAATCTAATAACTGTTTTTTTATATATAGAAAAAGATGAATAAGAGAAGAGAAGAGAAGAGAAGAGAACACCACATCAAATAAAATAAAGGGATATTGTTAAAATTACTCCCAACATTTATGAAAATGATTATTTTGTCCTTTTTTTTTTTTGAGATTTTGACTCCCAACATTTTATTTTATGGCAAAACCCATGCCATTTGACAGAATAATCAATTTATCTCTTATTCTTTTTTCTATGTCATTTTAGCCCTCAACGTTCCATTTTAGGTTAAAAAAAGCTCATATTTTAGAGCATTAATCGTGTGTTAACTAATGATTTTCATCTATAGATAAATTATTTGTAACCCCCTCAGACCGATGCGGATAACCCGATCCGATCTGGAGTGTCACATTAGGGCCACCTGAGCGACCCACCGTAAAAGTAACGGAAAATTTAAAACTTTTATCAAAACATGCAAACTCATAAAATCATTTATTAGTATTCAGAAATAAAACATATTTTCCAAACTCAGATATAAAACAAAATACAATCTACATGCCCCCTAATCACATATACCATACTCTGCAAACAACGCCATAAGAGCTCCCTTACTGAATTCGATAGATGCACTGGTACAATTCTTTTAACCTGCAATGGTGAGTAATAGAGTGAGCTTCGGAAAGCTCAGTAATACAGAACTACCAGATGATGCTACATGACATGCAGATAAATGGGAAGCCATAATTTCCTTATTGAATCAAATGTATACCAATTGCGGAATAATCTGGGGTTCCATTAGTAGTTCATCGGGTAGAAGCCATGAATCTCAGTTCATAAGAAACCTTTCATACTATCACGTTTTCATGAGGTCAAATAGGATGCCTAGTGTGTTCCATCAGTACGATAAAACCATAATAGGTACACTAATCAAATGATAGTTCAGTAAAATCCCATAAACCATATTGTAGTTGAGCTTTTTAAACTCGTATTTTAAAACCATCTTACAAATAATTAACCTAAGGGAACATCTTAGGGTCTGAGAGCCTACCCAAGATAGATTTTGGGGCCGTGGGGCCTACCTAAGAACACATCTTAGGGCCGCAGGGCCTACCCGAGAATGATCTCAAGGCCGCAGAGCCTACCTAAGAGTCACATTAGGTCCATAAAACTTTTCCATCTTGATCAGAGTTGTACTTTACAAATCTGTATCTCCAAGATACAGTTTATACAATAATACAAATCCATAAGCCATCACCGTTAAGTCGGTGCATCCATAAAACAATAACCATAGATTTTAGTGTACCACATGTTAAAACAATAAAACAATTTTTCAAAATATAAGGAACACACTAGAGAATCCAAATATTTTTCAGATGTATTTTGTAGTTATCAATATGGATAACATGAACTTGTGCAATTTGATCGGATTCCAGTAATAAGATCTTATTGAAGAGAATCGATTTCTAACCGATCTAATCAGACATTTCAGATTGATACTTTAGAATTCCACTAAGTTTATATGTGCATCAGGAAAACGTTCAGGAACCTTTATACATAATAATTCTAAATTCAAATTTATTGCGAGTGATTCCATTACCCAAACAATCAGGGGTATTCAGAAATATACTTTGAATTCATAGGATTTCAACCCAATTGAACCAAATGAGGTATTTTGAATCTTTTCCTTCTGCGTTACTTGCGTTTTCAAACATGACCGAAGTGATTTTAGATGAAAATATAGAATCAAAGATTCAAGTCATTTACAATCTATGACTATCGACCGTATTATCAAACAACTCGAGTTACACAACTCTCAATCTGATGCAAGTCAACAAGTCAATTTATTATCTTTCTAGTGTATTCACTCTTTAATACCATAAAGCATATCCATAGATCATCCCCTTAATCATCGCTGAATAGATCTCCCAACTGTCTTTATTTCATTTCCATGTTTCAACGATATCAGGAAATACGGACGTACTTGATTCATGGTTCATAACCCAAAAAGACAATTCATTATGTAAGTTCAACAGTGTTTCCAGACTCATCCAAATCACTTATTTAATCCTCATTCATTGAGGTTATTTTGTTCATTTAACAATCATGTTTATTCTTGTTACTTCAAAGTTTTCCAGAGTAATTCAAACGTTTCTGAATTCCAAATACATATTGTATTTCCATTCAGTTCAATTTAGTCATATACTAGAGTCATTCTAGTATTCGTGGTTTATTTATCTTACGGATATCCATTACTTACTATCGAATATGCTCTAGCATTGAGTTGAGTACTTCCAAAATTATCATCAATTCAAACTTGAGGAAACGAACAAGCATTCAAGTGGTTCTTATGCCATTCAAGTATTAATACAACACTAGCATTGGTTGACCGGTTTAAGTTGCGTTCTATAACCTTTAAGAGCAGTACAACATCCATGTTTATTTAAATTTCTTAAATAATCCAATACGTTTACTTAGTCTAGGACAAAAGGGTATTTTGGTCCTGTTTATGCTCAGTGATCTTCCATTCATTTCAAAGCTTGAGGATATCCATTCATTCCTGGCTTGGTGATATTCTTTAATCATTTCCATTACAGGGGTATTTTGGTAATCTTACAGATCTAGAATATTTCAATCATTTTCTCCGTCCAGTCTTATTATTTAATTCAAACTTATCATTTATGTCAGTCCCTTCGAACTATTCCGACAAAATATCATCATCGATAAATTATTATTCTTCATGTACTTACTCAAGTCGAAGATTTCCAGGTTAAATGCCTTCTCAGATGTTACTAACGGATTATCAGAAATTTTCCATACAAAAATAGAATCTCAACAATCAAATCAATAATTTATCGGTTTAAAAACAAATTCTCATGTTACTTTCTTATTCAGGGTCAACTTGGACTATTTTTACCTCTCAAGGGTATTTTCGTAATTTATTAACCATATAATTTCGGTATTAATTCTTAACGAAAATAATTATACTTTAGAGATCCAATGGTTAATTGTTTTCCTGAACATTCTTTGATCTCGAAATGATTCCTTAACAGACTTATAGTATTTTGCACAAACCCTTTTGGGGTTAAAAACCAGTTATCCAAATTTTCTAAGCAAAACTAGTATTTTTTTTCACATCTGTAATTTTATCGGATCAATATGTCTTTTTAGAGTTATTAACCAACTTCCATGAACAATTATTGTCATCTTACAATATAAGGGTATTTTCGTAATTTTACCCTACCGAAGTATTCTCATAATTTCCCATCCAAGTATCTTTAACATTTAACCTTTGATTATATAAAATATAAGTTACAAATCCATGGCTGATTTCTTTATCACTATTCACAAACTTGTAATTTAATTATAACAATTCCTCAATCTCTTCTTATATTAGTCATTCGATCTGTATTCAGTTACTGAATTTCTTCCACATTCATATCGAGTGTATAAATTAATCAACTCCTCAAAAGTGACCAACATTATCTTATTCATGCATTTACCAATATCAACATGTTTCATAAAGCATAAAGAGGTAGTAAAGTATTACCTCGATTTCTGTGCAATACTGATCGACCATAAAAATTCCATTCGAACGCCTTTGATCTTCAATTCAACTTCCAATAATTCCTCAGATACATAACAATAGAAATTTCATCAAAAACGAGGCTTAATTGTGAAAACGGATCGAATCGGGTGATTAATCAATGAAAAACAATTTACTGGGTTATAATTTGGTGATACGGACTTCTGAATCGTACCCAGGACGTCAACAAACCCAAAATATGACTCTTGAATTTAATCTCACCAACTTGATTTCTAGCTTCCAATCTTTTTCTCACGAACCAGACCATCAAAATTACTAACTCGTATCCAAATAATTTCCCTTGCCATAAAGATAGCTTATTAGAATTGAAATAATAATTTGGAAACCCAATTTGCATAACTAAAAACTGGAAGAGCTAGTAATATTTAATTACTAACATCATGGACTAAATTGATCTTGTAAAAACTATAATGTCATAACTATAACCACTTGAAAATTAAGAGACAAGGTAAATATCTCACCAAACTTGGATGACATACCTTGTGGTTTACCCTTTTTGCATGTCATCTACAATTCCCCACAACCACGTGAATTCTTTCATTACTCCCTTTTCACTTTTCAAAGCCATGTGCACTCTGAACCAATTTACATTTATTTATTAATTAATTTATTTTCAAAATCTCCATTGATTTTGATCTACGAATTATGTTACACAAATTCAAAAATTTCTCACCTCTATTCTTTTACGCAGGTTAGCCATGGACCTTATGCATCATTCCTCATCCCCTTCATTCCCGTCGACAACCATCGCCCTCCACTAACATACGCCCTTGTGATTCTTAACCTGAGCTATAATAT